GTCACTTGGAGGACTAAAGTGTGCTTGACCAAAGCCATGAAATTTTCATTTGCCTCATACAACAGTTTCTTTTAGAAAGATCAGCATGAGATTGGTTCCTTTGAGGTGAAGATTAAAGATATTCCAAATGTTCGACTTTCCTAAAGTGCTGTGGTGGTAATAGTGGTTGAGTCAGTTCCAACCCTGTATAGGGCTTCTGAAGCATTAAATCTTTACGGGAGCAGAAAGCCTCACTCTTCTTTTTCCTTAGAAGTGGGTGGTAGATTCAAAGTGCTGACCTAGCTTTTGGTAGCTCAAATATCAACAACAGTATCTCCCCTCAGTATTTTTCCCTACAGCTCAGGGTTCTGAAACTCAACTTTGGGCCATCAAGGTGATGACTCACATAGTTATGGAGGCTACAGTTCAAATGTCATTGTGGAGCATTCTCCTCACTCACTCAGAATTAGGCTGTTGACCCACAGGACTGTGAAAACAGGCAAATCAGGTCAGGTTACTGGCTCAAATTCCAAGAACTGGAGGTCAGATGGAGAGGGGCTTGATTAGTCAAGCAAAGGAGCACACAGCCCAAAGACACTGGACTCTAACTTCATGGGTCATCAAACCTAGCTCCCCCTATTAAGTGCTGGAGACACCCCATTCCACAAGTAAGCTTCTTGTCGAAAAGCACTCAGCTTTGGCTTACTTCAGGGGCCAGAAAGTCTCCTGCTTTGTCTCTTTCTCTGTCTCTTAGTTCTGCTGTTGCTACTCCTCTGCCACAGCTTTCTGTTCTTGGATCAAGGAATTTCCATGTGTAGGGATTTTGGAGTCCAGAGAATGCTCTCAATCCGGGCTCTTCTTTAATAGTAAAATCCTCCCGTCCTGCTTCTGAGGTTGGCTCATTTTATACCCATAATAGAGTTTCAAGTTTTTACAATTACAATGAAGTCTGGTAACATCCACAGCTGAATCATGTCATCCTGTCAGTATCTTCTCCCACCTTCTCTTACCCAGATCCATTAGGAAAAGAGTCATTTGGTGGGATTTACGAAGACTAAGGCTAAAAGAAATATATTAAATAATTCAGTTCTTTACACCATAACTCATATGCATGTGAAAGCTAAACAGTGAAAAAGGTAGACCAAAGAAGAATCGATGCATTTGAATTGTGGGGTTGTTGAAGAATATTGAGTATACCATAAACTGCCAGAAGAAGGAGCAAATCTGTCTAAACACAGTTTCCATTTCTTTAACCTTTTTCTGAAGAATTCTGTACTCTTTGATTTATACCACATCAAAATACCAGTTTGGACATCCTTGATGGTCTCAAATCAGGTTCCTTTTCAATGTTCTTTGAGTTTGTTGTTGTTGTTGTCATGTGCCATGGAGTCGGTTCCAACGCATAGCAACCCTGTACAGGGTTTCCGAGGCTGTAAATCTTTACGGGAGCAGAAAGCCTCATCTTTCTCCCACGGAACAGCTGGTA